AAAACACACAGATATAGGCTACGTTCACATTACCAGGTTAAAGTGGCACAAGTCTGATTTTTTTCTGCCCTAATGTGACTCAGATCTGATGTTTTCAGAGCTGTGTGGACACAAGTCTGATCTTTTCAAATCCGACCTGAACCACTTTCATATGTGGTCCTAGATTGGATATGTATCCGATTCGTGACCATGCGACCTTAATGTGACGCTCAGATCAGAATTCATGTCCTTTTTTCCCACTGTGCGTGACCATCATTCAGCGTTACCATGGCAGCAGCGCTAAACAGAAGCTAAAGCCTGTAAACGGTGGAAAAGCAGCTCATCTCACCTTTTTCTCCTTCGTCTCGCTCTAATAATGAAGCTGAGAGCTGATCAGAGTTAATGATCTTCTCAGCGAAGCTCGTTCTGCTCGTTAGTTTGTGCTGATGATGAATGTGATTCATTCAGATGACGTTACTGAGTAGGATGAGCTCATGAGGGTCATTTCAGGACGCCGGTTCGTCACATTAATGACAGATTTGAGTCTCTTACCTAAACGAGTGTGAACCATCCTGTCAGAGAGATCAGATTTGAGCAAAAAATCGGATTTGAGCAACGAGGCTTGTAATGTGAGCGTAGCTTTAGAGGCCAGTTCTGAACCCCAAAGCAGCTTAATACTGTTTTTAACTTAACATTTAACTTAATATAACACTTAAATTTACATTTTATAATCCGATATATCTCCTGATAACAGCTAGATCATTAATGATTAAAAAGAATTTCAATATTTAAAATAGAATAAAAATATGTTGCATAAATGAACGGCTTTGTTCAAATTTGCATATAGATTACACATTTAAAAAGATGGTTCTTCAAGGGCTTTTAGTGAAGAAAACGGTTCTGTATAGAACCATGAACTCTCAATGAACTCTTTCCATGATTAAAAGGTTCTTTGTATCGTGAAAGCGTTCTTAAGATTGATGAGGAGTGTGTTATCTGGTTATATATAGAACCTTTTTTTGGGTTCTACAAGGCCCCAAAATGTGCAAGCTTGTAACAGTAAAAGAACCCTTTTTTGGTGCTATATAGAACCCTTTTCAAAAAGGGTCTGTATAGAACCATCTCCAGGACATTCTTCATTAACCCAGTAAAGGCCATGGGAAATGTACTGTTTTTTTGTTGCAGATATCATGAAGTCAAAAAGTAACCCGGACTTCCTGAAGAAGGAACGCTCGGCTCTTTCCAGGCAGGTCCGTGGAGTCAGATCAAAGGTGAGGGCTCGGTTTCCTAAAAATGCCACAGTGACACTTAGTCTGTAAAAGTGGTGTGTGTGTGTCTTTGGTAGAAAAAAGTATGTGTGTGTGTGTGTGTGTGTGTGTGTGTGTGTGTGTGTGTGTGTGTGTGTTATGTACTGTACATGTGTTAAAGTGCCTCTCGTGTGTGTATATTGCCCTGTCAGTCTGTGAGTGAGGAGGTGCCGTGGGATAGCTGACCCCCAGCAGTGACGTAGGTATAGTATAAATCACACAGTGAGCTTTTCCCCCAGCATGCCTTTCCATTTACCCAGCATGCCCTCCCTCAACCCAGTTTGAAGTGATGCACATTCAATTTAATACTGTTTGGTTGGGTCAACAAAGTGATTCATAATGATTGGGTCAATTAAGTGATTCATAGTGATTCTGTTTAGACTGCTGTAGTGACTCAGTTTAGATGACTGTACTAATTTAACGTAGGCTACTTAAGTGATTCAGTTTAGGCTACTATAGTGATTCACTTCAGGTCTTCTATTTAGGCTCTCGGTGATTACATTTGGGCTACTGCAGTGATTGGGTTTAGACTACTGCAGTGATTCAGTTTAGGCTAGTGTGGTGATTCAGTTTAGACTACTGCAGTGATTCAGGTTAGGCTAGTGTGGTGATTCAGTTTAGACTACTGCAGTGATTCAGGTTAGGCTAGAGTGGTGATTCAGTTTAGACAATTGTACTAATTTAGCGTAGGCTACTTAAGTGATTCAGTTTAGGCTACTATAGTGATTCACTTCAGGTCTCTGATTCTGTTTAGGCTACTGATTCTATTTAGGATTTAAGTGATTACATTTGGGCTACTACAGTGATTGGGTTTAGACTACTGCAGTGATTCAGGTTAGGATACTCTAGTGATTCAGTTTAGACTACTATAGTCATTCAGTTTAGGCTACTGCAGTGATTCAGTTTAGACTACTGCAGTGATTCAGTTTAAACTACTGCAGTGATTCAGTTTAGACCACTGCAGTGATTCAGTTTAGACTACTACAATGATTCAGTTTAGACTACTGTAGTGATTGATTGAATTTAGTCTACTGCAGTGTAGTGATTCAGTTTACACTACTGCAGTGACTGAGTGTAAACTACTGCATTTATTCAGTTTAGACTACTGTAGTGATTGAATTTAGACTACTGCAGTGATTCAGTTTAGACCGCTGTACTTTTTTAGCTTAAGCTACTTAGGTTGCTCTAGTTATTCAGTTTAAGCTACTTTAGTGATTCAGTCTAGACTACTGTAGTGATTGTTTAAACTACTATAGTGATTCAGTTTGGGATACTCTAGTGATTCGGTTTAGGATACTCTAGTGATTCAGTTTCGGATGCTCTAGTGAATCAGTTTAGGCTGCTCTAGGGACTCAGTTTAGACTACTGCAGTGATTCAGTTTAGATTACTGTATTGATTGACTTTAGGCTTTCATAATGATTCAGTTAAGACTCCTACTTGACTCTTTCCTCCAGTGGCCCACACTGATTGCTTTGCTCAGTTTAGGGTTCTCCCTGTTCTAACTCAGTTGATTCAGCTTAGGATGTCTTTGATAATTTCCCTGTCCAGGCTCCACCCACAAACATGTTCTTTTGCAGCTGTGTTGATACTGTAGAACACAACCTACTGCCTTCTACACAATACCTACATTTAGAGTCAGAGAAACTGTAGAACAGACTCAGTTTATATCACAATACCTACATTTAGAGTCAGTTATTCATTCAGCCTAATGAGAAACTGTAGAACAGACTCAGTTTATATCACAATACCTACATTTAGAGTCGGTTATTCATTCAGCCTAATGAGAAACTGTAGAACAGACTCAGTTTATATCACAATACCTACATTTAGAGTCAGTTATTCATTCAGCCTAATGGGGCTGAGAACTGCTAGTTTGTGTTAGACTGTTTTAGCTGTAACAGAAATCAGTGTCTGATTTGTTTTAACCACCTTCTGTTTGTTTGTTTGTTTGTTTGTTTGTGTTTGCCTGTACGAACCATTTAAATGTTTTGTTTCTGTGCATCATGTTTACCTCGTTTGTCTCGTCTCTCTGACCTGCCGTGTGTGCAGCGTGAATATCTTTACTCAAACGTCTTTTGTTATGGGATCTTAAATAAATGTGGCCAAATGACTGTGAAACAGAACCGTAGCAGTTAGGAAGACGTAATAATCTACAGAACAGAGGTTAGACTGAGACCAGTCTGATCTCTGTTATGAACGTTAAGTGTGGTATGAATGTAGGATTTCACATCATTCAGCATGTTCAGCTCAGTTATGTTGACGGGTGGGAGAACTGCAGTCGTGGTTCGCACGAAATAAATAATTTAAAAAAATAAACAACGTGTATTTTTAAACTGGTGGTAAAGGAGTTTTGCCCTAACAGGGGGCTGTTACCACAGTGACTGGGGCAAACTTTAAAAAGTCCAGAGCTAAGAAACAATTTGAAGCACAGTTTCGAAATTTTGCATGATTGTGTACATTAAATACAACTTTTAAAACAAGTTATTTATTTATTTGTTTGTTTTTGTTTGTTTGTTTGTTTAATGAAAATCGGTGATGAAGCCAGCTGGGCCAAACATGAGCTGTTTTGGAATGACCCTTATTATATAACCTTAATTTCATTATGATGGGTTCTCCTCTCTCTCTCTCTCTCTCTCTCTCTCTCTCCCTCTCTCTCTCTCTCTCTCTCTCTCTCTCTCTCTCCCTCTCCCTCTCCCTCTCCCTCCCCTCACTCTCTTTTTCTCTTCCCCTATCTCTCACTCTGTCTCTCTCTTTCTCTCTCTCTCTCCCCTCACTCTCTCCCCTCACTCTCTCACCCTCACTCTTGCAATCTCTCCCCCTCACTCTCTCCCATCACTCTCTCACCCTTTCTCTCTCCCCCTCACTCTCTCACCCTTTCTCTCTCCCCCTAACTTTCTCAATCTTTCCACTCTCTCTCCCCTTCTCTCTCTCCCCCTCCCCACTTTGTTTCTCCTTCACTCCCTCCCCTCACTCTCTCTTTCTCTTCCCCTATCTCTCACTCTGTCTCTCTCTCTCTCTCTCTCTCTCTCTCTCTCTCAATCTCTCTCTCAATCTCTCTCCACTCACCCCCTCACTCTCTTAATCTCTCCACTCTCTCTTCCCCTCCCCACTTTCTGTTTCTCCTTCACTCCCTCCCCTCACTCTCTCACCCTCACTCACTCTCTCTCCCCCCTCTTCTCTGTGTCTGTATCTCTCTCCCCCTCTCTCTCTCTCTCTCTCTCAGAGTCTGAAGGAAGGATTGACGGTGCAGGAAAGAATGAAGCTGTTTGAAGCAAAAGACTCCAGGAAGATCTGAGCAACACCCCCCTCGTCCCCCTGACACCCCCCCAACACACACACACACACACACACTCGTCTACGGCTTCAGATATTTAGAGCCTTTTCTTAACCTTCTTTCTTTCTTTCTAAGCTGCAGAACTTTCCTCCTCGTTTACACTCTCTCTGTGGATGGTGAGTTTATTGAAGTGCAGTTCTCGTCGTTCGACTGTGATTTTGAACTCTTTATCGTTGCTTTAGTGACTGAAGGGAATCTGAATATTTGCTTTGGTTTCTTTATCTTCCTTTGACGGGCGGAGTTATCAGTTAACATGGTTTGTGGGTGGATATTAAATCATTTCATTCATTATTTCATAACTGTCACATCAAACCACTACATCTCATTATTTCCTCCATGGAGAAAGCTGTGTGTGTGTATACAGTCCTGTGCAGAAGTCTTAGTCCGTCTGAGAGAATGTCCTGTAAGGCTGGGCAGTTCTGGGCAGTTACCGTCCAGTACCAGCACTCGCTGTCCACTTTATCAGCTCCACTGACCATAAAGTCTCACTCTGTAGTTCTACAGTTACAGACTGTAGTCCATCTGTTTCTCTGCATACTTTGTTAGCCCCCTTTTTGCTGTGTCTGATCCACTCAGACCAGCGCAACACACACTAACACACTAACACGCCACCACCACATCAGTGTTACTGCAGTGCTGAGAATGACCCACCACCCAAATAGGACCTGCTCTGTGAGGGTCCATGGGGGTCCTGACCACTGAAGAACAGGGTGCAGAGAAACAGATGGACTACAGTCTGTAACTGTAGAGCTGCAGAGTGAAACTATACGGTCAGTGGAGCTGATAAGATGGACAGTGAGTGTAGATTCACAGTAGGTGTTGCTAATATAGTGGACAGTGAGCAGATTTTATCTAGTCAGTTAAATCAGGTGCTGCTGATGGAACTGAATGAATCCATGTGAGTCAGAAACCAAACCTGTGCTTTTCTAACATATATATTCCGAACTTTACTTAAAACAGCAGGTTCTTCTGTAATTCTGTATTAATCTCACTGCCCAGATAAACACAGTCATATGCATGTTTTGTTTGTTTTATAAGTGAAAGTAGGTTGATCCTCTACAGGGAGCATTTCGCTGCTGTCAAAACAAAACCTTGTATCTCCATTTTTGTCAATTTTCAGTTTTTAACATGATTTGAAAATGTCTGATGCTTCCATTTCATGATGAATGGACCAAAATAAACGGCCCAAAATGACTTGGTAAAAATTCTGGTTCCATTGACATTAAAAGTAAAGTAGGTTTTTTCCTTCTCCTGTAAAGTTACCATTTTAGAGATACAAGGTTTTGTTCCAACAGCAGTGATTTGCATTTTCACATTTTTTATGCACAATTTCTTTTATTTGCTAAATTTTGGAAAAAAAAAGAAACATAAAATATAAAAAGTGCCATGACTTTTGGTACAGGCTGTATTTTATTCTAAGGAGCCCCGCTGGTGACATCCTGTATAAATAAACATAATGCGAGGCCACAACTTAGTAAGGCATGGGAACAAGATAATTAAGTCATGGCCATGACTTAGTAAGGCGTGGGAACAAGATCCTAATGCATGGTCACAACTTAGTAAGGCATGGGAACAAGATCCTAATGCGTGGTCACAACTTAGTAAAGTGTGGGAATGAGATCCTAATGTGTGGCCACGACTTAGTAAGGCATGGGAACGAGATCCTAATGCGTGGCCACGACTTAATAAGGAGTGCAAAAAATCTTAAAACGTCACCATGACTTAGTAAGGCATGATCCCATTCCCACGCCTTACTAAGTGGTGGCCACAACTTAATTATCTCATTCCCACACCTTACTTAGTTGTGGCCACGCATTAGGATCTCGTTCCCACACCTTACTAAGTTGTGGCCACCCCTTATTTTTATTTATATGGGATGTCTCCAGCAGGGCTCTGTATTATTCGGTTTTTCACAGTGTGTTAAATTCAGCCTAATAACAGTGACAGTGCGGTGCGTGTGAAGCTCTGTGTAGGATTACATTTATTTTTACTTAGGAAATCAACCTGTCATGTGACCAGTTGTGCATCTGACTGTAGTTTTAGGTGTTTTCTCGGCTGCCTGAGCGGCTTCTGCACAGCGCTGCATGTGTCTCCCCAACAGAGGCATTTGGTAACTGCTGTACTTTTGTTTTTTGGTATGAACTTTGGCGTTAAAGGTGTTCAGATGAGCGTAACGTAGGCTGATGTTCGGGGAGAGGAAGCTGTAATTTTGCTAATGATATTGTAAATAAGAGTGAGGTGTGTTTTTTGCTAGGAAACGAGACAATTTTCATTCTACTGTGTTTTTAATGGATGCTAAACAGATTTTGCGTATAAACAGTAATGTGAGAGTTTACATCGTCAGCGTGTGCGTATGTTCTGCAGGGCGTGTCTGGACGTGTGGCTGGTCATTACACTTAATTTACTTGATTATGAAAGTGTTTTACACAGCTCAATTGAAAACTATTTACTTTATGCTAACTTGAGCTCTGCTGTCAGTCACTGCATTCTGAAGGATCTGATTGGCTACTGATGTTTAGAAGCTTTTCTGTCCTACAGTCAGTGCTGAGGCGCCGGCAGAACAGACGAGCGCAGCTTTCTCCTCTAGTATTAACCTCTCTTTGTTTTTTTGGGCGCGTGCTGTTCGAAACGGAGCCTTTCTCAGTTGCTTTAGCCGCTTTTGTAGAGGCTGCGTTAGTTGACTTCGGGAGAGGATTCTTTTTAATACCTAATTTAAGCGAACTTAGTAAAGCACACTTTCACCTCCCAGCGATGGAAAGTCACTGTATAGTTCAAGACTCAGCGGCTTGTATATATTCGTTTCACAGAGGTTTTGTTTAATGTTTTAAAACAAATCTATATCTTACTCTCTAGCTCTATATGGAAAAATAAGTCTATATATAAATATATATATGAATATTTTTTATTTTGGTGTGAATGTGGAACATCTTCAATAAAAGCTATTTCTGAAATCTTCTTCTGTGTGGGTGAAAATTACTTCCAAATCAAGGTGACTGACTTACGCATTCACAATCACAAACCTTTATTGTTTAATACTTTAAAGTTTGCAACTCTGTTCATACATTCTGTGTGTTTCCATCTTTAAGCCCTGTTATCTTTATACACCACACTAGTGATGGGAGGAACAAGACTTTCTGAAGCTCGTTAGACTTTCCTCTGTCATTTCTTCAGTAAGACCTATTCAGAAAGTCAACCAACAACATCAACAAAGAATTCACAGTTAAGCCATCTTGGAAAGATCAGATAGATCCTCAAACAGCAGAACTGATTTTATTTCAACACGAGATAAAAGACGTTTGATTAGTTTGAAGATTTTATTGATATTTATTAGTAAATTAAAGTTTAACATTTTCTTTACTGATTTACACTACATGGCCAAAAGTATGTGGACACACAATCACACCTGTATGAGCTTGTTGGACGTCCTATTCCAAAATCATGGGCATTAATATGGAGTTGTCCCTCTTTGCGGCTCTAACAGCTTCCACTCTTCTGGGAATCTTAGTCACATAACAACAACGTCCAGAAACACCACTGACTTCTCTGGGCTCGAGCTCATCTGAAATGAACTGATGCTCGGTGGAATCATGTGGTCCAACGAGTCAACCACCCGTGTCTGTCATGGTGTGTGTGTGTGTGTGGGGGGGTATTAGTGGGTTACCTGCACATCTGTAAAAGCACCATTAACACTGAACACCTTTTGGAGCAACATATGCTGCCTTTTAGATGCCGTCTTTTTCAGGGACGTCCATGATTATTTAAACATGACACACAAAGAAATATACTGCACGTGTTACAACAGCAGGGCTGCGTAATCAGAGTGTGTTTGTGCTGGACGGACCTGCCTGTCTCATATTTAAAACCTGGCGTGTTATGAAATGCAAAACACAACAATGAAGGCCCCATACGACTGCACAGCTGAAGACGTGTAACTGAAAAATGGCAAAAGTTTCTGCTTTCAAAACTGGATCAGTTTGTGTCCTCAGTCCCCAAATGATTATTAAGTGCTGTTAAATGAAAGGTGATGTAACACCGGGGTAAACACACTCCTGTCGCAACTTTTTCGCAAAGCTGCAGCCATGATAGGGGTACCGATGTGTGTTAATACCCCAATAATCCCATTGTGGTGCTAAACACACTGCAAACCACTACCACTTTCACTGAGCTGCTGAGATCGGTCAACAGCAGTCCTGTAGACAGAAACTAACCAGTGATGAAGAGCGTGGCTGAGGAACTATGCATGACAGTCCGTACATCACTGGGTGGTTTCTGTAGTGAGTCGAAGTACATAGTACGGTTTGTTGTCAAAGTTGATGATGAGTTTGTAATTTCCTAAAACGTCCTCACACATATTCTCACACTTATTCAGCGTTAAATTTAGCATTTATTTATATATTTATCAATTTAGCGTGTCAAATTCACCTGAATGCATGTCTTTGGACTGTGGGAGGAAACCTACAAAGACATGGGGAGAACATGCAAACTCATGGAAAGGACCCCCAACTTTAAAATAATTCTATGAAATTTTAAGATATCTTGATGGTGTTTATGCTCTTGCCAGTGAGGAGATGAAGCAAGACCTGCTGAAGTATTGGTGCTGAAAATTAGTGTTAGAATAAAAGGCTTTTAAAATGGCACAACTGTCAAAGTGTCCTCCCAAGAGACTGGCGTCTGGGTGGGCAGGATGGTCCTCCCTCTCCATCACTCGGCATGATGCTAGCAGAGGTGCTCAATCCTGCTTTTGGAGATCTACCACCCTGCAGAGTTTAGCTCCAACCCTAATCTAACAAACCAGATCCAGGTAATTAAGGTCTTCAGGGGCATCTGGATATTAGACCCAGGTGTGCTGGATCTGAACTCTCCAAGGTGGTAGATCTCCAGGGTTGATGCTAGCGTGTTAGCTGTCCAGTGACATTTCATTGGCCGCAGTTTGAAAAGATGTCGTGGAGCTTTACATGACTTGGAGGAAAAAAGAGGGAACGATGATTTTAGTTTGAGGTAGAGAGCCCACTCTATATCAGTGGTCTCCAAACCTGGTCCTGAAGATCTACCTTCCTGCAGAGTCTAGTTCCAACCACAACCTTCCACACCTGCTCCAGATAATTAACCTATTCAGATGGTCTTGATTGACCAGGTCAGATGCATTAGTGTTAGGTAATGGAGGGGCAGCCTGTTAGATGCAGGTTGAAACAAAACTCTTCAGGACAGCAGATCTTCAGGAGGGTTTGAGACCATTGATCTACACCAATGTGGTTAATCAATTATCAATTATTATCCTAAGCACTTATAAACAACACTGATGTGCATTTTGCTGCTAACCTATTCCCTGATTCTTAGAGAGGATCCTCAAGGTGTTTCAGGAGGCCTCAGGGTCATCATGCTCCTTAAAGATTAGAACATTATGTTGAGATGGTGATTTCACAGGCGACTTTAGCCCACTTCTTTTGGTCAATGGTACATAAACTCTCCCTCAGACCACAGTCGGACATAACAAGCTTAAAGCTTAATACATGTTAGAGCTGGGCGATATGACCTCAAATCAATACCACGATTAACTGAATATTTTACCTCAATTACGATTAATGAACGATTATTTCATTTTTTGATTTTTTTTTGTTTGTTTTCCTGCCCTCATAGTTCACTGAAAAGGTTTGTACTCCGTGTTTGAAGAGATTTCTAAAGAAATGCCGAACGCGGCCGCAGGAGAACGAGGCTGCAGCGTCAAAGAACAGTTAAAAGTCTGAAAGCAAAGTTTAAAGAATCCGAGGACGCGAACCAAAGAAGTGACCGCGCCCTTTTTACGGCTCGAACACATTCTGGCTGATGAGCCCAGCTGTCAGTCAGTGAAGCTTCATGATGGCTCCTGTGATGCTGGTGAAGATGAAGCTGATCCTCCGGGAGCGACAGGCGTTCGTTGGCGGTCGTGATTGTTTACCTCTGGATGAGCCGTGAAGCAGCGTGACGCTCTGTTCTTTTGCGCATGCGGCTCTGTTTAGGAGCTGATCTGTTCAGACTGATGTCTCATACAGATCACATTTAAAAGATAATCTGAACAGCCAGACAAAATAATCAGATTTGGTGAGAAAATCGGATTTGGGCCACTTTTACTTGCTGTGTGAATGTAGCCTTAGCTTCCATGTCGCAGAGTGGACGTGGCGGAATCACGTGATACGTGTTAGTAAGTTTTAAGGGGACAGTACATGAACACGTAGAGTCGGGAAAGGATTAACAGAATTTAAAAAAAAATCTAAATAACCGAATGTGGGCAAGATTGCGTCGGTTAGAGGTTCTGAATGTCGGTTTCGATTACTTTTCGATTAAATGCCCAGCCGTAACACATATGGAATTAAACAAACAGAATTCATTGTGGGAGTTTTTCACACCACGTCGTACGTCTTTACATATTAACATCACACGCACAGACTCAAAAAGAAGGTCCGGCTCGATGTTTCGGCCTCAAATGATCTCAGAATCAAATCATGATGAAGATGTGATGACAGTAGTAGATAATTCACTCTCTTTGAATTCTCTTTCAGTCATCAGATTCATCTGCTTGCGGAAGGAGACTGAAGCTCAACCCACTCTACAAAATGTTCTTGCGTGCAGTTCCACATTTCCACCACAGAGGTCTCCAAATCCCCAAATCTGACATAGCGCAGCATTAATGTGTCATCATGGACATAATCAAGTATTCATACACTCTTAAAAAAGGTTGTCCTTCAAGGGTTCTTTAGTAATGACAATGGTTCTATGTAGTACCATGAACACTGAAAGAACCATTTGCCTGCTTAAGTACTTTGCATGGTGAAATGGTTCTTCAGATTGATGGGGAATGAGTTGTATATGGTTCGATAAAGCACCAAAAAGAGTTCTTCTATTGTGTCCAATGTCAAGCTTGTAACAACATAACCCTTTTGGGTGCTATACAGAACCCTTTTCAGAAAGATTATACAAAGAACCATTCACAACACATTCTGCATCAATTTGAAGAAAGATTTCACAATGGAAACACAATTTACAATTAAATTTCACAATGTAAGCATGCAAATGGTTCTTTGAGTGTTCATGGTTCTTTATAGAACCATCACCTTTACTAAAGTCATTATACAGACAATCGCAATCATGCAAGTATATAAAGCACAAGAGAGAGGAAGTCAGGACCTCCTTTCCCATAATGTTGAGGGTAAACTGCAAAATTACAGGTCACGTGATTCACGCTAACCTATAAAAACTGATAAAAATCTTATTTTTGTTTTCCTTTTGACAAATTCATGCCTAATGAGTTTTAATCTCACTTTTAGTGCACTTGTGTGTCTTTCAGACTTTTCGGATACCTGAAGCTTCTGCCACACTCTGAGCAGGTGCACCGCTTCTCTCCGGCATGAACGTGCTGGTGTCTTCTGAAGGTGCACCTGTCTCTGAAACTCCTCCCGCACTCTGAGCAGTGATAGGGCTTCTCTCCGGTGTGAGTGCGCTGGTGACTTCTGAGGGTACCTCTGTCTCTGAAACTCTGCCCACAGTCCGAGCAGTAATACGGCCTCTCTCCCGTGTGAATGCGCAGGTGCACCTGCAGGCTGCTCTGGTGAGGGAAGCTCTTCAGACACACCGAGCAGTGATAGGGCTTCTCTCCGGTGTGAGTGCGCTGGTGTTTTTTGAGGGCATCTCTGTCTCTAAAGCTCCTCCCACACTCCGAGCAGTCGTAGGGCTTCTCTCCCGTATGAATGCGCTGGTGTCTTTTAAGGGAATCTCTGTCTCTGAAACTGCTTCCGCACGCCGAGCAGTGATACGGCTTCTCTCCTGTGTGGATGCGTCCGTGCAGCTGGAGGCTGCTCTGACGATTAAAGCTCTTCCCGCACTCGGAGCAGCAGTACGGCTTCTCTCCCGTGTGAGTACGCTTGTGTGACTGGAGCCCACCCTGTCGAGTGAAACTCTTCCCACACTCGGAGCAGTGATAGGGCTTCTCTCCTGAGTGAACACGCTTGTGCGACTGCAGGTGACTCTGTCGAGCGAAACAGTTGCCACACTCGGAGCAGCGATACGGCTTCTCTCCGGTGTGAACGCGCTGGTGTGCCCGGAGCACACGCTGGTGAGTAAAGCTCTTCCCACACTCTAAGCAGTGGTGGGTTCTCGCCTTGTCTGTTTCTTGGTCCATTCTGTTGTGAGAAGCGTCAGCGTGGAGAGCACCAGAAGACCTGCTGCGTTCTGGAGCTTCTTCTGGACGCCATATTATTATATTCCAGTAGTTCTTCTGTTTAAGGCATTTCCTAATGTGTTTGTGGAGGTGGATTTAAGCTGCATGGACACTAGCAGATGGTAAGGACTTCCAGTGAATGCCGTTCATTTCTGTAGGAGAGACAGAAAAAGAAAAAACATTCAACACATGAGGTGAAACCCAAATATGACAACATTGTTTAGGACTGTACCCACAGACAAGCTGTGCTGTCACTCCGTAGTCAGGGTCAGGACCATATTAGTAACTCCAGGTCTGAGCTGAATTTCTCAATGGCCAACATAAATGGGATTTTTGAAAACCTGCCCTGTAGTTAACAAAATGATTGCCAACCAGATACGCTTTCCTACGTACATTTGTCACTGCATCCTCTGAATTCCGAGGTCATTATGGAGTTGGACTATTAACTTTGCTACAAGCAAGCAAACAATGAACTGACATTATAACACATTTGACTACACAAAATACCCTAAACAATCCAGCTAGCCTTGGGCAGTGTGGTAGTTTAGGACCTTTGTCAGTAGTAGAGAACATTAGGAGTGGCTGTGTTATTATATAATACCCTAAACAAACCAGCAAACTCATTACAAGGGAATGCAAAGTCACTGAGGAGGAAAGGGAAGTGGTTGGTAAAGAAAGCAAAAACATTGGGAAGGAAAGGAAAACACTGGGAAGGAAAATCCTTTGGAAGGAAAAGAAAAATATTGGGAAGGAAAGCAAAATTCTTGGGAAGGAAAGGAAAAACATTGGGAAAGAAAGCAAAATCATTGGGCAGGAAAGGAAAAACATCGAGAAGGAAAGGAAAACCATTGGGAAGGAAAGCAAAATCCTTGGGAAGGATAGAAAAACTTCGGGAAGGAAAGCAAAATCCTTGGAAAGGAAACATTGGGAAGCGAAACATTGGAATGAAGGAAATAAGGAGGAAAGTCATCCTGGAAGGAAAGGAAAGGAAGAGAATCCTGTGAAGGAAAGGAAAACATTGTGGAAAGCGAGAAGCAGAATCCTTGGTGGAAGGAAAATCATTGGGAAGGAAAGGAAAAACATTGGGAAAGAAAGCAAAATCATTGGGCAGGAAAGGAAAAACATTGAGAAGGAAAATCATTGGGAAGGAAAGGAAAACCATTGGGAAGGAAAGCAAAATCCTTGGGAAGGAAAGCAAAATCCTTGGGAAGGAAAAGAAAAACATTGGGAAGTAAAGGAAAATCATTGTGAAGGAAAGGAAAACATTGGGAAGGAAAGCAGAATCCTTGGGAAGGAAAGGAAAAACATTGGGAAGGAAAGGAAAATCATTGTGAAGGAAAGGAAAATCATTGTGAAGGAAAGGAAAACATTGGGAAGGAAAGCAGAATCCTTGGGAAGGAAAAACATTGGGAAGGAAAGCAGAATCCTTGGGAAGGAAAGGAAAAACTTCGGGAAGGAAAGGAAAATCATTGTGAAGGAAAGGAAAATATTGGGAAGGAAATGAAAAACATTGAAAAGGAAAAACATTGTGAAGGAAAGGAAAAGCATTGGGAAGGAAGCACAGTAAGTCGTGAAGAACACTAAGCTGGCCTTGTCAGGCCCCCTCATCAGCCCTGCTGCTCTATCAGGGCCGTGAGGCGCTGCTGTGTGTGGGTGAGCATGCTGAACACACTGACCCACTCAGAAACACCACTGAGCCGAACCTGCGCGTCCCTCATTAGTGAGATGCACTGCTGACCACGCTAACTGGGTTTGTACTTCAGATTTTTTACCCTCTGTGCCCAAAAAGCTGAAGTTAGCTTCTTACTGGAATTTCGCCGGTCCGCCTTAAATGGTGCAGCAGGTACAGGATGTTCGGGTGCCAGACTGCAGCTGCTGCGCCGTTTAAGGTGGACCGGACAGTAAGAGTGAGTTAAAATGGACACTCAGTGCACACTCATTCACAGAAGGCACTTCTGTAACCCGTGTATGTGAGGGTCAGTTAATGATGATGAAATAATAATAATAATAATAATAATAACGATAAACCCGCTGTAAACAGTCTGCAGTTTATCATCTACCTCTCCTTCTCTCCCCCCGACAGGCTCAGCAGCGCTGGATCTTCTTCTTCTCCACTTCAGTTCGGCTCAATCGCACTAGCGCCGCCACCTGGGCTGCAGTGGGACCTACACCTCATTCTGTCTCAATCAGAATCACTTTAGCCGAGTGTGTTACACACAATGAGTTAGTCCTGGTCAGACACACATACCGAGCCCCTAAAGTGACATGAGGATTATTTTTTAATAAGGCATGGCCACAAATTAATATACTGAGGCCACAAATTACTATACTGGGGCATAATTTATTATATTGAGGCCACAAATTAATACATTGAGACCACAAATTACTATACTGGGGCATAATTTATTATATTGAGGCCACAAATTAATACATTGAAACCACAAATAACTATATTGAGGCCACAAATTACTGTATCAAGGCCACAAATTACTATGTTGAGGCCACAAATTACTCTATTGTATTGAGGCCACAAATAACTAAATTGAGGCCATGGATTACTACATTGTTTGAATGCTGTGTTTTAATGATCCCATTTATAACAATGAAGTTACTACATCAGACTGTATAACTTAATGTTGTTTGATTTTCCAAATAAAGGTATTATGATTTTGATTGATTTTCTGTATCATTCTGTCATACAGTTGTGTGTAATGTTAATTACATGCTTTGTTGATTTTTTTACATTTAACATGTTCTCTATCTGGAACACACTTACTGCATATGTTAGTGCACAATTAATATTTGTTAACATATTGGGGAAAAAATAAAACAGTTTAAAAGTGAGCTTTACACCACTCCAGCTGACACTTGGCATTGCACATAGTGATCTTAGGCTGTGCAGCTGCTCAGCCATGGAGACCCATTTCATGAAGCTCCTGGTGCTCAGTTCTTGTGCTGATGTTGCTTCCAGAGGCAGTTTGGAGCTCTGTGGTGAGTGCACGCCACTGACCCTCCTGATGATACTGCTGCATTTGTAATCATAGACATTGCTACTCCTGCTTTTCCCTTTTTTCGTATCTTATACTGATGGTCAAATCTCATTCTCTGCTGTTATTGTTTGCTATCCGATCTTTTTGACTCTTATTTCCTCTCGAGGTTTCTTCCTGTTGCTCTTAGGGAGTTTTTCCTTGCTATTGTCACCATTGGCGACGCTCATGGGGGCTCGGACCCTGGTTTTTCTGTAAAGCTGCTTTGTGATGATATATAAATAAACTTTGACTTGATTTGATGCAATCGAGGATTTTTACATGACATAGTGGCCCCTTTCTGTGATGTTTTTTGGGGTCTACCACTTCGTGGCTGAGCTGTTGTTACTCCTTGGTATTTCCATTTTATAAGGACAGCAGTTACAGTTGTCTGGGGCAGATCTAGCAGGGCAGAAATTTCATTAACTGACTTGTGGGAAATTGGCATCCTATGACAGAGCCACATGTGACCTATTCCACTGCCAACGCTTGTCTATGGAGACTGCAAGGCTATGTGCTTGATTTTATACATCTGTTAGCAATGGGTGTGGCTGAAACACTGGAAGTCAGTAATTAGGATGGGTGTCCACACATGGTCATATAGTGCACCGTGAAGAGAAAGTGATGCTCTGGCCAATGAGAGGTTAAGCCTGTGCTCCTAGAGATTAAGAAGTCAGTTACTGATAAATATATTGTTTAAGGCTAATTTCTTATTAAGTATGTACTTGTGCACTATATGTAATAACATTAATACACTGTAAGTATTAAAATGAAAGGAGGAAACAATAAAAACAATGATTTCCGTTTGAAGTTAATGGATTGTTACCCAGAGTACTTACTAATAAAAACACTTATGAGTCTTAGAGTTTGATGCAATACCAGAGTACGACTTTCATAACTTACTTTAACTGATCATTTTACTTTTTGAACCCCCAAAATTGGATTATTTTCCATCATCAACATTCCATATAAACTCAGAAGACTCGTGTAGGTTCACTGGTGGTTCTGGATAGTAAATAAAATGTCTATATTTGTGTTGTAGTCATGGCGACCCCTGGTTCCTATCACCACCACTGTAAAGACATCTGAACCATTTCACACCAAACCACTCTGAATCTCTCTGTTTACATCTCACACACTGAGTTATGCAGGAGTTTTGAAAAATTGGTGACATTCTCCTTTAAGCAATATCCCCCAGAGCATGTATGCTGTTCAGGTGGTCACATGATCAGCAGTTACTGAATCATACACTAACAAATTCTTCTATAAGCAAATTCAGTTTCATAACAATAATGGATTTATAAGAATATGATATTGTTACAACACCTCATGTTATTTTGTATCAGAATTGTTTTCAGTGGAAGAAGATCTGGCTAATGCCTGATACCTAATTAGTAATAAAATTAATATTAAATAAAATTGATCTAATATAAACTTACATATAAAATCTACTCAGCTAAAAACTGCTTTATATTGTTTAATTATAACATTGACACAGCCTGTTTGTTCTGTAGCCTCTACCCAGAATTATTCACTGATTTTGGCATCATCAATATCAACATTTTAACAAAACCTCAGTGCCTTTATTGTTCATAATATTGATGAAAAGCATTGTTTATTGCAGAAACATATTATTTGGTCTTTTGGAAAATCACAGAGCTAAATGTAGACATGTATATATGACAAATCTTATACTTTTAATGGCTACAGTTTATATATAGTGTAAACTCTCAGGCAAAAGACCAACATTTGTTGCCATTGAAAAGGAGAAAACATTACACTGAATTAATGCAGCCCTTTTTGAAACTAAACACTTCTAAAACTGTTTCAGCATGTGTGCACTTCAGTACTTTTGTGTAGTTATGTATATCCCCCAGGTCATTCTTTTTGGCGTTCCTCATCTCATTAACTACGTCTCCAATAACCGTGGTCGCTTGTCCTTATGTGTCAAATCTTCAGTGAGAAATCTGGTGTTGTCTTTGACTCGGACGTCAGACAAGATAAACAAGTCAACTTTGGTAAGAAGTAGTTCCGCCAGCTTAGAAACATCGCCAAGCTTAAGCCTTTTTCTTTTTCTGACCTGGAGAACGTTGTTCATGCATTTATTTCTTCTAGAACTGACTACTGTAACTCTTCGTACATCAGAGGTGGCACCATACTTCCAAAAGGGGTGGGGCAAAACATATTGTTTAAAGGCCACTGACTAAAACTGCCTTTCATGTCTTGCTGATGACGCATCCTTATAAACCTATTCAGAGGTGGGTAGTAACTAATTACATTACTAAAATACTGATGGATTTTTATTGTTTCTCCTGAGTATTTTATTTTTTGTAGTATTTTTGAGTACATTTGCCTCTACTAAAATATATTAGCGAGTAAAGAATTTTTTTGTACTCTGTTACATTATAGCCATTCATATTTAGACACCATTTTTGTGTATAATTTAAGTTTGTTTTGATGGTGGCAGTGTTTGTAGCGCTTTGTGATTGGTTACATCTCTGACTTTGGAGCTTCTGTATTTCAGATCAAGAAAATCCCAAAAAGAGAAGAACAGAGCTGCACAATCTTCAGTTCCTGTGCTGATAAATGCTTTCTACTCCAGCTGTTTTGGGGAAGGTTCTTTACTTGTGTAATTATTTTATGCCAGTATCAACACTTTTACCTGGGTATTAATAAAGACTACTGTACCCACCTCTGACCCTGATCATGAACAGTGTCAGTGTTAGTTTTGATGCTGCTTCAGTAGCTGCAGCCTCAGATAGCAGCATTCGTTACTAACATCATTTTCTAAAGACCCACCACAGTTTGTATTTTGTCTCTTTCCTTTGGTTCAATATCCTTTCAGAGTTCTCCATCAATCTGAAGAACCATTTCACCAAGCAAAGGACCATTTAGGCAAGAAATGGTTCTTTAAGTGTACATGGTTCCATATAGAACTATTCTCTTAACCACCTTTTTTAAGATTGTAGGCCTAACTTAAATTGAGTAGTGATGGAGGATGTTTCAGAACAGTGTGAGTGTATTAAACTTTTAATTTTTTCGACCCAACTCTAGCAAACAGGTCTACAACTCACACTGATCAGATTCCTCCAACAGCCAGTGAAAACATAGAGCGTGCAAGAAGAAAACGCAGCAAATAAATAAAGAATAATGACAAAAAGACTTAAAGTAGTGACAAAAAATTATATAAATCCTTAAAAATTAAAACTGCATGCAGTAAAACATATACACAAATCTAAATCAATCAATCAACCTTTATTTAAGCTCGGAGTGCACTGAAGGTGACCCTCATTTGCAACACAGCTGAGCATTAGAACACAGAACAAAGGACTAAAAAGAGTAATAAGCACCAAAATAAAAAGGTAAAACATATCAAACCAGTAAAAAATGGCAAAATGAAATGTAAACTACTAAGAATTACAAAGTTTAAAATAGGGTAAATATATTTGGTTTGGGACCTTCGGACATTGACACTTGAGGCTCATGTGAGGCACATACAGCACTTACAGCTTGAGACGGATTGTCTCAATCTACAGATTGAGACTTGGGGCTGGGGTTTGGGACTTCCAGCGCTACCCATGGCTCTCGTCGACACTTGAGGGCTCAGGTTCGGAACTTCTGGTGCTACCCACGGCTCTAGTCGATGCTTGAGGCTCGGGTTTGGGATTTCCGGCACTACTCACAGCTTTCATCAGTGCTTGAGGCTCAGGTCTTACGGCACTGCGCAAAGCTCTCATCGATGCTTGGGTTCAAAAGTTCCAGCAATACCTGTGGCTCTTTTCGGCACGTGGGGCTCAAGTTCGGGACTTCTGGGGTACCTGTGGCTCGTCAGCACTTCTGGCTTAAGTGCTTCATTCCGCACCCCATGGAGCCTCAGGGCTTGTGTGTGGGATTTCTGGTGCTACCCATGACTCTCGTTGACACTTGGTGCTCAGGTCTGGGACTTCCTGCGCTACCTGTGTCCTTTGTCAATGCTTGTGACTCATGTGCAGGGTTGTCTGTGGTGTCTACGGCTTTTGCTGGCGCTTGGTGCTGGATGCTTGCCTCATTCCACACACGCATCTCTTGTTGGTGCTTCATGTTCTTTTCAATTTGACAAATTCATGTACCACAAATTTTCATCTCACTACTTTTTCAAATACCTGAAGCTTAAGGCTCCTCTCCTGTATGGATGTGCTGGTGTCTGTTGAGGTTACCACGGCCTCTAAAGCTCATCCCACACTGTGGACAATGATAGGGCTTCTCTCTGTATGAACAACCTGGTGTCTTTTGAGGGTACCACTGTTCTTGAAACTCTTCCCACACTCTGAGCAGTGGAAGGGCTTCACATCTGTGTGGACGCGCCGGTGTCCTTTCAGAGTACTTCTGTCTCTGAAACCTTTCCCACACTCTGGGCAGTGATATGCCTCCTCTTCTGTGTGGATGCGCTGGTGTCTTGTGACGCTACACTTGTCACAAAAACCTTTCCCACACTCTGAGCAGAGATACGGCTTCTCTCCCGTGTGAACGCAGTGGTGTCGTTGGAGACGACTCTGTTGACTGAAACCCTTTCCACAGTCTGAGCAGGTGTACGGCTTCAGCGCTCGGTGACTGAGCTGGTGTTTCTGGAGACTACTCTGCTGAGCGAAACATTTCCCGCACTCCCAACAGTAGTAGGGCTTCTCTCCCGTGTGAGTGCGCTGGTGTTTTCTGAGGGCACTGTTGTCTCTAAATCTCTGCCCACACTCTGAGCAGTGATACGGCTTCTCTCCCGTGTGAATGCGCCGGTGTTTTTTAAGGGCAGCCTTTTCTCTGAAACTCAGTCCACACTCAGAGCAGTGATACGGCCTCTCTCCTGTGTGAACGCTCTGGTGGAGTTTCAGACGGCCCTGCTGAGTAAAACTCTTCCCGCACTCTGAGCACTGGTACGGCCTCTCTCCTGTGTGAATGCGCTGGTGAAGCTCGAGGATGTACGGCTGAGTAAAACTCTTTCCACACTCCGAACAGAGATACGGCTTCTCTTCCGCATGAATATATCTGTGCAGTCGGAGACTTCGCTCTCGATTAAAACTCTTCCCACACTCTGAGCAGGAATGCGGCTTCTCTCCTGTGTGAATGCGTTCGTGTTTTTTAAGGGTCGCTTTATCTCTGAAACTCCGCCCACACTCCGAGCAGGCAAACGGCTTCTCTCCCGTGTGGATACGCTTGTGTATTTGGAGGTGACCCTGCCGAGTAAAACTCTTCCCACACTCGGAGCAGTGGTGAGTTCTCGCCTCGTCTGCTTTTTGTTGCGTCCTCTTGCGAGAAGCACCAGTGTGGTGGAGAGTACCAGAGGACGTTTGCTGAGTTTTGGAGCTTCTTTTGGAGGCCATACTATTTTATTTCACCTCTACTGACCTCAGCAGAATAATGTAGTCCTATTTACAGCATTTCCTGATGCGTTTGTGGAGGTAGAATTTAACAGCAGGGGAAGATTTCCAAGTGTGCATTGGTCATTTCTGAGGAACAAAAAAAAAACAAAATTACCAAAAATGACCAAAACATAAAACATAAGATGTCCATACCAGAGTTCTAGCACACTTATACATCACATTTTATATGTGTCCTCTATTATCTTTGTCCATACTTTTGCTCATTTTCCATATTGTTGTGCAATATCTTCTGTGTTGTGTGTGCACTGGATGATCATGGAGCAGAGAAAGGCATGTAAACAAAGGCCAGACTGACCTTCTGCTCTCTCAGAAACCCAAACAACCCACCAATACAGCCACTGAACTGTAAGACGACCTTATTCTTGCACTCTGTGGGCTGAGCAACTGCTTGACCGCCCACGTTTCAAGAAAATACCCCTTTTATGCCAATTCTCATTGGATGATGGTGCTTCAGCCAAGTATGTAGTGTATGTAAAGATATTCCTAAGACAGGCTTTACACAATGAAACTTTCATGCAACCATGCTGTAAGTTACCTGCAAAATATCTTCTGTGCAGCTTGTTAGTTACACAAAGCAATTAGAAATCAAAGTTGCACGCAACACAGTCAGTTACTCCACTAATTAGCCAAAGTCACCAGAGGTGATATTTACATATTTGCAGTATTTTTATGATCACGTTACAGTTGTATGTGTCACTTATCTGTCTATCTATGGTTTTTACTGTATAATCTGAGTTTTTATCTGTTGTGTGAACGTTAAGCCTTTGAAAATGAATGTTTAAGTAGCCGTTACAGTTAAGGCCTAGTTGATACCTCACTCATTCAGTCCTAGAAGCACATCTCTATCTCCTATTCTGTAATCTTCTATATCCTCATGATCACAAACGAGTCTGAGCTCTGTGTAAAATATGGCGGTGTTGATAGAGGGGAAGACCACCCGACAACTGTCTCGTTCCACAAATTTGAGACCGATGGAACTGTTGCGGCTGAGTCTGAAATTAGTTGCAGGGTGTTCTTCAGAGGCTGAAGACTGAAGGATCAAACGCTGATGAAGCAGGAGGCCTGCCTTGTCTCTGGAGGATAGCGTCATTCTTCTGCACCCAGTTTCACAGACTAACTGACCCGAGGGAACACTGACTGTCTTGTTTATTGAGGAACTTAGATCGTTGCCAATACAGCTGCTCTTAGCCTAACCATAACAAAGCAGCAGGTGTGAGAGTGACCGTCTAGGAACAGAAATAACTGAACAGAATTTTCCGGATAGAGCTTCACAGCAACAACGCACAATACCGAATATAATATTAACTATTTCAACACAATCTGTCAAAACCAAGAGAAAATAGGCCATTTATTTCAACACCATCAGACAAAATCTAAAAAAAATAAGGCTTTATTTCAACACAATCCGTCAAAATCTAGAGAAATGTTATTATTACAACACAGTCAAAATCCATGGTAAACATTATTTGGACACAATATAAATTTAAAGAAAATAAGCCATAATGTGGACGTAGTGGAAACCTTGAGGAGCCAATGTTCTGAGATGAGGTCACAGTGCTGTCAGAAACAGAGAGGTGAATAAACAGCTGGTGTGTTTTCTCCTCTAGCCAGGGGTTCTCAGTCAAGGTGTTAACAACAGAAGAACTCTTTTTGGTTCTATATAGAACCATCTGCTTGCATGCATAAAGGGTTCTTTGCTCAGGGAAATGGTTCTCCATGTTGATTGAGAATGTGGTGTCTATAGAACTTTTTAGAAAATGGTCCTACACAGCAGCAAAAGGGGTTCTTCTATTGACATCATAACAGTAAAGGAACCCTTTTTGGTCCGGTATGGAACCATATATAAGAAATTCTCCATCAATCTGAAGAACCATTTCACCATGCAAAGGGGAATTTGTGCATGCAATCAAATGGTTCTGTATAGAACCAAAAAGAGTTCTTCTACTGTTAAAACCTTGACATCGTACACAGTTGCAGGACCCTTTTTTGGTGCTATGTAAAACCATATACATATCAGTCTGAAGAACCACCAATCTGAAGGACCATTTCACTATGCAAAGGGCAATGTATGCATGCAAATGGTTCTATATAGAAATCATGGTTCTTAATAGAACCACTGCCCTTACTACAGAACCCCTGAACAACCATATATTTAAAGGCTGGCTGTGAGAGCAGCACCGTTACTTACCCGATAAACAGATCCAGAGTTCTTTGTTTGAGGAACCCAAACCAAAACAGAAACAGGCGCGAGGTGGAGCGTCACTCCGCGAGCTCTGCTGCTCTCCATCTGCAGAAGAGCTCACACCTCTCACTCTGCTGTCAATCAAACACAGAACAGAGCTGTGATCTGATCAGCTCCTCACCTCCAGCCCCGCAGCTCCTGCCTGCTCCTCCGGTGGAGTGGAGCGCGGATCTTCCGCCTCTCCGCTTCACTGGGCTCGGTGATCCACAGTCACACGGATCAGCGCCACCACGTGGGACCCAGAGGGGCGGTCTCTTCACTCTCCTCACTCCACCCGCATTCCGGTCAGCTCCGCCTCCTGCGCTCCTATTGGACAGTAGCAGGGTCAGTTTCAGGGGAGCATGGCTTCCTATTTTCTAAGTCAGAACTGTTCACAGTGGTGGTGATAGGAACCAGACGTCCACCTCTAAAAGCTCCCTCACAGAAAGTTACTACATGAAATGGTTATGAATTCACTGCCTGATGACTGAGACACTGTTTTATGATAGTTTTGAAAAGATTTTGGCCCTAAACTCCATTCATGGTGGAGGGATACATAATATGCAGGGCGCTGTGAGGCAAAATAGTCCCCAAAGAAAACTTATTATTTCAGATTTTCCACTATTTTCCATCATCAACATTCCATATAAACTCAGAAGACTCGTGTAGGTTCACTGGTGGTTCTGGATAGTAAATAAAATGTCTATATCTGTGTTGTAGTCATGGCGACCCCTGGTTCCTATCTCCACCACTGTAAAGACATCTGAACCATTTCACACCAAAACACTCTGAATCTCTCTTCCCCATACAACTTCGCAGGACAACAAGTCAAAGGCTGTAGTGCAGGCACCCCACCTTAACCGCACCATTACAGTCGATGAAGAGGAGGCCTTGGTTCGTTACATCCTATGGATGGCGAACCACGGCTTCCCCGTCACCAGTGCTGTGGTGAAAAATGAGTGCAGAGTATGGTCAGGTCAGATGGGCGGCAAACCTTAATAAACCTGGAGACAGGCCCAAGTAACAGCTGGTGGCTTAGGTTTCGAGCTCGTCACTCAGACCTGTCCATGAGGACACCCGACTCCCTGGACCGAGGCCGTGTCCATGGGGGAACCCCTGAGGCTATACAGGGTTTCTTCGCCATCTTTGAACCTCTCTATGTCCAGCATAGTCTGCAGGAGAAGCCACACCTTCTCTTCAGCTGTGATGAGACAGGGTTTGGGGACAAGCCAGGGTCCAGAGAGAGGGTCCTTTGCCCCAAGGGGAGGAAGCATCTTTATTGGCAGCAGCAGATGACAAGGGAACACATCACTGTGCACTGCTGTGTGAGTGCAGTGGGGGTGAGCATCCCTCCATTCATTATTTACCTCCGCTGCCTCCCCAGCACTGCATATGCCCTGGAGGACCCCCCTGGTGCTCTGTATGGAGCTTCTGATAAGGGCTATATGGATTCTGAGCTCTTTCTGAAGTGGCTGGGCCACATCGTCACCACCTGGTGGTGGTCAAGGCCACATCAGCTGCCACCGCATGGGCAACCTCAGTGGCCGCTCCAGCAGCCACATCAGCTGCCACCACAGGGGCTATCTCAGCGGCCACATCGGCTGCCACCGCATGGGCAACCTCAACGGCCACTCCAGTGGCCAGCTCAGCCAGTCCATCCCTGCTGCCTTGCCCAACATGCCACTAGATGCCACCATCAAACCCCTTAGTGGAAGCAGACTTATTAGTCTTATTAGACTCAAACTTTTGTTATTTATTATGCATTACTACAGGTTATGTAATTAACAAAAAAATAAACATACTATTATTTTATTACCTAATTTAAGAAGTTTTAAAAAATGCTTAAGTGTATTCACTAGCCATAGTATGACGTTTATCTACAAGAGCCCAAAACACTTCTGTTTTGTGTATTTGCTTTTGTGCATTAATAATTTTTGTACATTGAAAATGTTTATAATTGTGATGCAAAATAAACGATCTGACCACCTCCTACTTAATTTAAGTGACCCTTTTTAGTCCCACAACAGGGAAATTTCACCTCCACATTTAACCCATCTGTGCAGTGAAACACACACTAGGGGGCAGTGAGCGCACTTGCCTGGAGTGGTGGGCAGTCCACAGCACCCGGGGAGCAGTTGGGGGTTAAGTGTCTTGCTCAAGGGCACTTCAGTCACGTACTGTCAAGCTCAGGGAATTGAACCAGCAACCTTCCGGTCATAAGACTGCCCCCCTAAACAGGATGCACTGGCTGGGAATCGAACCTGGTTCAACTGCTTGGAAGGTAGCTATGCTCACCACTGTACCACCACCGCCTAAATATTTCTGAAATGAATGTATGCAAAACAAATCATTATGATCATAATATACGCACTTAAGCTCATGATGGAACCAGTTAAAGGTCTGTATGACTACATGTTACTACCGCCATAGGTGTGTTTAGAAGCCCACCTCTCGCCGCAGAAGGTTTCAATGCACATCCCAGAGAGGGACAATATATACATACATATAACATAATATAGGATAAAATCATGCATTTAAAATCATAAGTAAAACAGCAGTTTATCCAGTTCTGTATTTGTTTACTGTGAAAAAAATCCCCTAGTGGTCATACTAATTATCGCACACGGAATCAGAAAATGAGACTTGTACACAGTTGGCTTGATCTTATGCATGTGTGTGTTTTATGAAGGCACACTGAATGGGTGACACCCAAACTTTAGGGACTTACACAACTGTTTTATTCCACACACACATCTCTAATTTAAAATGTCTGAAACATTACCTTCTCAACCCTCTTGAACAGAGCTCCAAGGAAGAGGTCAGATTTAGTCTGTATTTTAGTGGGCTCTCCACTTTGCTCAGCAATGTTTCACCTGCCATGGTTTAAAATCTGTGCAGAAATATTGTGAAACATGTATTTATGAATGTTGAAAACATAGAACTCTTTGACTCAAGGCATGTGGTCTGCAGAAGGGCCAGCTGCGCATGTTCTTATAGATGTACACACAAACACCTCAGACAGTGACCAATCACAGAGATGAAGCCTTTTTCCATCATTCATTTACTTTTTTATTTATTTAACCAAAATCAACATGGACTTTTCATTCTGATATGGCTTTTGACGCATTTGATTGTTATGAAGAAATATTACTCATATTTTGCATGTTCTGCAGTAAATGCGCCACATCTGGGCCAGGGACTAAGGTGGGTACTCAGCCATAACTGTGTGCCATATATGAGCCACATCTGGACCACACCTTTTAAATATGCTCGCTTTACAGTGTGTGGGCCAGATCTGGACCAGATCCCTTAGTTCCACTCACTTTACAGTATATGGGCCAGATCTGGACCACAGCCGTTAACCCTAAACACTTTACAGTATATAGGCCAGATCTGGACCAGATTCCTTAGTTCCACTCACTTTACAGTATATGGGCCAGATCTGGGCTGGGGATCGAGCCAGAACTGTGCCAGAACAAAACCAAGGATGTGATAAATTTGCTGCTGCTGAGCACTGATTGGTTGGCGTTACTGCTAATGAGCGCTGATTGGTTAGCATTACTGCTACTGAGTGCTGATTGGTTAGCATTACGCTACTGAGTGCCGACTGGTTAGCATTACTGCTACTGAGTGCTGATTGGTTAGCATTACTGCTACTGACAGCCAATTGGTTAGCATTACGCTACTGAGTGCTCAGTGCAGAAATGCTAGTGTCCTACCCAGACAGCTAAAATTGTCTGGCCAACTTGTGTTCCACATCCTTGTGTTTGTTCTGGCCCTGTATATGGCTGCTGGGTCCTTGGCTCAGATCTGGCTCACACACTGTAAAATACATAAAACTAATGAATGTGGCCCAAACCTGGACTAACTACATTATTGGTCACACCAAAATTGGCCCACAAATTTAGACACAGGGCAAGTCTGGTGTTTGGCCCTTTACTGGTCCTTTACTAACATTTACCTGGTAATCAACCAACACTTGCATAGAAAAGATGGAACTGGCTTGGCTTTCTTTGACTTTTCCTTATACTTTTAGAAATTGAGAAATTCCCAAATAAATAATTTTGTTTAATTTTGTATTTTTAGCCAGTTAGCTTCATTCACCCAAATTCATTGTGGACTTGCTCATGGGCGCCCACTATCATTTCACATTTTTTCATCATTACATCAAGTTTTTGATAAGCGGAGGAATAGGAATTGGCCAGGGTCCCCTTAAACTGGCTCCCAGCATCATAGCCAAGCTACTAAACCCTCTAACGGCTGAGATTGGGCACGTGCTAAAAACATGAGTTGCACTGATTGGGCTGCCAACTCGTTACGCCATTTTCAAGAAGGAACTTTTTACTTTTTTAACAACAAGCAGCACTAAAGGATTAAGAATATGCACAAAACTCAATCTATATTTAATGTGTCATACAGATCCTCAGAATTCCAAGCCCATCATGTAAAAACAGAGGCAGGACCTTTTTGCATATGACAGCTGTTTCAGTTGGAAATTATTTAAACAGAAAATGAAAACAAGTTCCATCATTCACATTAAACTACAAAAACCCATAATAAAAAGTGTGTTTGTTGACTTATCAGTTTTGCCACACTCTTGGTACATTTGTGTGTCTTTAAATAACCGCTCGGTCATTCAGCTTGTGCGTGGACGCGCTGGTGTCTCTGGAGGTGGCTCTGCTGATTGAAGCTCTGCCCGCAGTGCGAGCAGCAGTAAGGCTTCTCTCCTGTGTGAATGAGTTGGTGTCGTCGGAGGTTCCGTATGTCGCTGAAACTCTTTGCGCAGTGCGAACAGTGATAGGGTTTGTCTCCTGTGTGAACGAGCTGGTGCAGCTGGAGATAGTTCGGTCGAGTAAAACTCTTCCCGCAGTCTGAGCAGCGGTACGGCTTGGCGCCCGTGTGAATGTGCTGGTGTCGCTGCAGGTTGCTCTTCTGATAAAAGGTCTTACCGCACTCTGAGCACTCATACGGCTTCTCTCCGGTGTGAATGCGCTGGTGTGCTCTGAAGTTTCCTCTGTCGCTAAAACTCTTACCGCAGTGCGAGCAGTTATACGGCTTCTCTCCGGTGTGGATGCGCTCGTGCACTTGCAGAGAGCACTGCTTAGTAAAACTCTTCCCGCAGTCCGGACACCGATAGGGCTTCTCCCCTGTGTGAATGAGCTGATGTGTTTGGAGGACGATTTTTCGTTTAAAACTCTTCCCACATTCTGAGCAGTGGTACGATCTCTGCTGAGCACCGGAGCTGCTTCTGGATGCCATGGTCACGTTCCAACCTGACTCAATAGGGCTTCACTCGTTTCTGGAGGAGAAAAAAATGACAAAGAAAATCAGTGTAAACCACAGTCTAATACAATTTAGTGATTCTTGGTTTCTGTTTAGTCAGAAAGGAAAGTTTTAAGAGGAGAACGAGGGATAGAGGAACGTGTACAGGGAGGAAGAGTGAGATGGAATCAGCAAAGGGAGAAAGAGGAACTGACATAGGGAGAAGGAGTTAGAGAGGACCAGACACAGGGAGAAGGAGTTAGAGAGGACCAGACACAGGGAGAAGGAGTTAGAGAGGACCTGACACAGGGAGAAGGAGTTAGAGAGGACCCGACACAGGGAGAAGGAGTTAGAGAGGAACTGACACAGAGAGAAGGAGTTAGAGAGGAACCGACACAGGGAGAAGGAGTTAGAGAGGAACCGACACAGGGAGAAGGAGTTAGAGAGGAACCGACACAGGGAGAAGGAGTTAAAGAGGAACTGACGCAGAGAGAAGGAGTTAGAGAGGAACTGACGCAGAGAGAAGGAGTTAGAGAGGAACCGACGCAGAGAGAAGGAGTTAGAGAGGAACCGACACAGGGAGAAGGAGTTAGAGAGGACCTGACACAGAGAGAAGGAGTTAGAGAGGAACCGACACAGGGAGGAGTTAGAGAGGAACTGACGCAGAGAGAAGGAGTTAGAGAGGAACTGACACAGAGAGAAGGAGTTAGAGAGGAACTGACGCAGAGAGAAGGAGTTAGAGAGGAACTGACGCAGAGAGAAGGAGTTAGAGAGGAACTGACGCAGAGAGAAGGAGTTAGAGAGGAACCGACACAGAGAGAAGGAGTTAGAGAGGACCTGACGCAGAGAGAAGGAGTTAGAGAGGAACTGACGCAGAGAGAAGGAGTTAGAGAGGAACTGACGCAGAGAGAAGGAGTTAGAGAGGACCTGACACAGAGAGAAGGAGTTAGAGAGGAAATGACACAGAGAGAAGGAGTTAGAGAGGAACCGACACAGAGAGAAGGAGTTAGAGAGGAACCGACACAGGGAGGAGTTAGAGAGGACCTGACACAGAGAGAAGGAGTTAGAGAGGACCAGACACAGGGAGAAGGAGTTAGAGAGGACCTGACACAGAGAGAAGGAGTTAGAGAGGAAATGACACAGAGAGAAGGAGTTAGAGAGGAACCGACACAGAGAGAAGGAGTTAGAGAGGAACCGACACAGGGAGGAGTTAGAGAGGACCTGACACAGAGAGAAGGAGTTAGAGAGGACCTGACACAGAGAGAAGG